TGCTTTCTGTAACTTCAAAAAAAAGTATTATCAAAAGCTTGAACGTTTATTATTAAAAATGTTGCGACTTACTTATGAATGTAAATGCACGAATAACTTAGCACAAACTTATAGGTTCCTTTTCATAAATCTTTCTAAATAATTTATGAGAATATCGCCATGCGCAACGAGTAAACGTTTAGACGAGATCGAAAACCCTTTCCAAGGTTTTTTTTATGAAATTCAGTAGCGTCCGATATGCCACCATTCTTGTAAATCGTTTTAGATTCTCTAATTATACTTTGTTTTAGAGAGCATCTAAGATATACCCAAAATTAATACGCTAGGTTTGAACTCATCTGCTTGCATTACTGGTGTATTATGGCATTTTTGCCAAAAGGGTCAGGATGTAGTAATCCATAATTAGAAAGTTCTCATTTTAAGCTACTCCCTCGAAGACATTTAGTCAAGATAGAGCTTTGAAAAGCTGCGCGTTAAATATCATAAAAAGGCTTTAGTCCAAAAGCCTATACAATGCATCTACAGTTTCTCTAAAATTTCAAAATTCAGTGATTAAAGTCTTACTGGAAATTACAGGATTAGCTAGGTTGAATAGATATGTTTGAGCATTGATGTATTCAAAATTATGTAGAAGTAGAAGTCAGTCACTCTAAGCGACTTCATAACATTCTTTTTAAAGTTTAGACTTAAAAACAGAATAAGAACAATTTTATCTAATGTCAAACGTTTCCTTTCAACATTTGTATTTTTTATTATATTAATTAATTAATGAGAGAATAACTATCCATTTATTTGCCTGACAGCTAAATAATTAACTTAAAGATTACATTTGAAATTTTAAAACGCTTTATCGATTGATCGAAACAAGGCAATGCCATATATATCATATAATGAAGTAATGAAAACTGTAATGCGAAGAAAAGTGATTGTGAGCCGTACATGTAACACTTTTTTTTTATGTATTATTATACAAAACGAGTATAAATCGTTACGCGTTGTTGATTGCAATGTCATATTCATCCTAATTTTGCGCTTATATAGACATGCAATTTTCACAAAAGAAAAAAACGATTTTTATATATTTTTTTCTTATGATAAGTATTTATTTTTGTTGTTAATCATTGCTAATCCAACAAGGTAAAAAGTTTCTTTAAACCTTTACAGTATTAGTTATAAACTTTGATACTAAATAATAAATAATAATAAAACGAATGTACTGATTTTGTTAATAGTGTCAGTTATCAACATCAATGATTTGAGTAAGTACAATTTTATTGAAGTGAAAATAATGTTGGTTTGAATAAATGTTGGTTTGAATATTCATATCTAACGAAGAAACAGATTTCATTATCTTATGGATGTTTCGTGAACGTCTGTCTACTTGATATACAACGTTGAGACGGTAACAAGTCAATATAAACATTTTTAATAAACCCAGTGTTCAGTAGAACTTTTGCCAAAGTTGAGGCCGTTTTTACATTAATCAATTGTTTCCAAAACATCCGAATTTACCATTTCATACTGCTCAAAAAGTTCCTTTAATGGCAATATTTACACGATTATAACTCTGAAGTGAATGAAGCGGCTGAGAGTGGGAACAATTTAAAAAAAATTATTAATCTTGACTGTTTTCTAAAATGTCCATAAACTCACTGACAACTTCGCATGCTACTCTCTTTATGACCGAATTTTTCTGAAAGCTGGAAAACATCTCAATTGAAATAAGAACTTTAGTACAATTGCGACTGAAATACTCTTAACTGGGTTAAACATATTTAAGAGTTTATTAAGAATAAATAGAAACATTTATTATTAAAACACGAATTTTCGACCTATTATACGGTCATTATCAAATGAATATAGAGCGTTACATTGAAACAAGCCTTGTTTTTCCTTCACTGTGACGCTCTGTACGACATATTCACTTGATAATGACCGTATAATAGGTCGAAAATTCGTGTTTTAATAATAAATATTTCTATTTATTCTTAATAAACTCTTAATTATGTTCAACCCAATTAAGGGTATTTCAGCCGCAATTTCACTAAAGTTCTTATTTCTGTCGTTGCTCTTTAACAGTAACAATGTTATTGACCTCAATTGAAGCTAAATTATTTTCTCTATCTTGTGGACTTATTAAAAAATCATTTCTGACTCGCTATTTTTTAGAAAACTGATTTTCAGGATCTTCTTTCCATGGTCGGTTGAGAAAATATGTAGGTGGCTGTTTTGAGTATATTTGGAGTTTCAAAAATTTGAAGAAATGTTTCTTTCAAAAAAATTTTTTGACACTCATTAATTAGGTAAATATGAGATTTTTTATCTAAGTCAGAAAACTGGGCCGAATCAGCTATTATTTGTCCCTTTTCTCTAACATCAAGATAATTTTCTTTTTGTTGACTACATTGATTGATTGATTTATATTTTAGTAGCCACAAGTAGATGGTAGATAGTGGATAAAAAAGGTACACAAACATAAATCTTTACAGAAACAAAAACAAAAGCATGTCACTGGGAAGGCAAAAAAGATTCTGAGAACCTATAAACTTTGCCACCTTATTTTATATTATTTTGTAAAAACAGATAATTATGTTTTTACTGAAAAAGAATATAAATAATACCTGATTCAACTCAGTTTTCTGACTTAGATAAAGAACCTCATATTTACTGTATGTAAAAAAAAGTTCTTAGAAAAAAATTCGTCAAAATACTGATCACAGTACGGCTATTTTGACGCATTTCTCAATTGTCCGATAGCATTAAGAAAATTTTTTTATCTTTTTATGTACGTCATCTTAATTATGTTTATGCAGAAAAAAACTCGAGAATATTGAGAACAAAAATGGATTTTAACGCCACCTTCTCCTCTCCTTTGATGAGAATCACTCACCACCAGTGTTTTCGATAGTAGTTTTGGTGGGGGGATGGCGAGTCTGCTGAGTAACTAAAATTTTTTTCTGAGTAACTCAGTTAATCAGAAAAAAATGAGTTACTCAGAAGCTTCTGAACCAATCACTTATTCAGGTGCATAAAAGGCAGTTTCTCAACTTAAATTTGTTAAAAAATTTGAGTAAGTCAAAATTTTTTGAGTAACTGTATTCAAACGAGGGGGTGGTTTGCCATCCCCTACCACCCCCTAATCGATAATACTGCTCACCACAACTGTTTAAGAGAGATAACCCCTATATTTGGCCGGGAAAAAAATTAATTAAAGAAACTGTTGTTAAATTTTGTAGCATAAGTCTATCATGAAAACAAATTCTTGTTCATTCCCTATTCATCAAAATAACTTAGTTCTTGTGTGAATTGATAGAGAAATGTGTATAGAATATTTACTACAAGAAAATATGTAAACATGTTTGTTCTTTTCTTCCTGTTGAAACTATCCATATATTCTAAGTGGAGAAAGTTTAAGCGAACAATGTATTGCAGCAAAGTATTATAATGAGAGGGTCCCATCAGATACAATCCTGCACAGAACTCACAATTCACATTGACTAATTAGTGTTAATTAACATTAATTTAGCCTACTCTACTAGCTTACAGTCCCATTTACGAAAAATAACGCTCAACGAAAAGATCCAAGCAACACCTCATCTGATAAAGAATTTCACGGTCTACAAGGCATACAATCTTAAAATTTTCGAAATTTAGTTTTGATAAATCTGTCAGAATACAAGCAGAAAATATTCCATTATATTATTCTAAATTAAAACTATCGAAAAAGCACAAAATCAATTTTGTATGAATAGAAATTCGAACATTTGGACTTAGCTTTGTAGTAAACTGTAAAACTAAAGCTACTGTTCTGTGTTTATATTCTGTACAACGATTGAAGTTCTGCAATCGACTCCACGTTATCAGTAGTATTTTTTTTATATGTTTTTTGTGTTCTGTTTTTGATACAATTCATTTTTAGCTGCTCAGTAACTCTGGTTCTGTTATACAAAAGGAAAAAATTTACCCGTATTTTTTTAAGTATTAACTTTTCTTAACCAAATAATGTCAGTAAGCTTAAAAATATTTTAAGACATATACTTCGACATATACTCATAAACCAGGAAGACATGAGAAAAAATTCAAGATTTGAAAATTTCGCTAGTTGTCGACCGAGAAGATTTTTGGTGAAAACTTTCTTGGACATATCCGCCTTCGGAAGAAACTGGAAGTTTTCAGTTTATTTTTAGAGGTAGACGATTTCTGCGTTTTAAGCGATTTTTATTCAGTAGCTGTAAACACCATTTTCAGTAGTTATAAACTCAGTTTTCAGTGGTTATAAATACGCATTCAGTAGTTGTAAACATTTTGAGCATATTTTCGATCATCAAATTTTCCCTCTTTTCTGGGTGTTTCTACTGAAAAAGAAGGGTTTTATGGCATCCCAAAAAGCTGTTCTATTATTGATTTGTTTCTGCGCAATGAGCATTAAGTACACCTGTGGACAAAGTTTAGTGAAATTTTCACATTTTTTGTTTCAAAGGAGCAACGTTGACAAGCTTTTTCATAGCTCCTTACAGTTAGTTTCACTCGAAGCAAACATTTTGGAACAAAATATTTAACGATTTTTGAAATTTTAAAATTTCATACTTTCCAGTTGAAAAATCAAAACACGAAAATTTTGAAAAAAGCTCTCATAAACGTCTCAAAACTCGATTCGGAACAACTGTTATACTCAAGAGTTTTATTCTAAAGTGCTTGCTTCGAACGAAGCTAGCCGTAAGACTTTTTCAATATACTTTTAAGTTCTATTTAAATTCTATCGGGAAGTTAAAAGTTAAATTTTTACCTCAAATTTCATTCAATAATGATGACAGTTTTTTGTCATATACAATTTAATGTACTCTATGGAGTTACATTAGAATCAACTCTTCATATCAAAAACTAGACTTTTTATTAAAACTTGAATACACTGAACAGAAATTTAATATAGTCCATCTAAATCGTGCTTACATAAAACTCTTGCAATTTTCTTTTATAGGTAATTTAAATCATCCACTAGAATGACACATGTTCGTGCAATACGTCGTTTACCTACGGTTGAGCAAGAAATAAAAATTATCGATAATCCATTAGATGAAGAGAAGGTAAAACTCATTCAAACAAAAAATGAAAAACAAGAGATACAAAAACAAGAGACATCAAACGACAAAGATGATTATCAAGCTCCATTGACTTCATCAAAATTAAACCCAAATTCAAAATGGTTAGTTGTTAGGCACAATATACATCGTATCCGTCGTATAGGAGCACCTGTCGATGATAAATTACCAGATATATACCACGGATTCCAAATGAAACGGGAATTAACACGTGCACAAGAAGCTATTAAAAATATCGATAGCGATAAGAATTTTGAACCTGTTAAACGATTTGATTTACCAGTTGATCAAGATAAAATAAAAACGTACGATACATCACACGTAACAGAACAAGATGCATTAGTCTATGATAAACTGGGTGGTGAACCGTTATCATTACAAAATCTATTATATTATTTTAGTAAACAAGATATACAATATGGTACAATTTATTGGGAATTTTTAAATGAAGTTAATCGAGTACTAAATATGAATAGAAAACGTTCGGCTCGTGTTGCTAGATTGAGAAAACTTGCATTGACGTTAGCTGTTATTCTTTACTCGATTATTGGCATAATGTTTTTAGCTTTACTTTTTAGTTTTATTAGTACGGCAACAAAGTTCAACGATCCTGAAGTCAGAATTGGTACATCATGAGTTTTTTATATTTGATTCATATCTTATTAATGCGGTTTAATTTGTTGTTTTATTGACATTGATAGTGTTTTTTTAATATAAATAAAATTGTATAAATGGACAAAGTAGAAATAGACATGCACCGAGTTCAGGTCGATAGTGGAACACACTTTTTCTATAGTATCGTTTTTTGTACAAAGTTTCTATTCTGATGAGCTTTTTTAACGAGCAGAAAAAGCTAATAAGCGTTTATTTCAGCTGTAAGCAGTCCAGACTTTCAGACTGAGTATAAAAAATATGGGAAATTCATTTCGATCGAATGAGAGATCGAACCCCCTTATACTCCATGATTTTGCTCTAGAATGCTTCTTTAATGAAAAAAATGGTAGTTACTATGTAAAAGCGGTAATTAGTGTTTCCCTCAGCTGGATTACATTTTCTAGATCCGAGTCCAAGTCCAACTGTACGGGTCTTTGGGCTTGGTGCATGCCTAAGTAGCGATGCAGTTCTATCTAACAACAAGCCGGCAAAATATAAGGGTAGTTCGGAGTATTTCTAGAATAACTGTGGTAAATAAATATTTTTTGTTTTAAACGATACCCGTCAATCTACTTCAAGTTTTCTTTATCGAATCATGTGAAAAACATTTAAGATTCTGTTTCGGGCAGATAATTTCAAGCACTTTACTGAAATCTGTCTATGAAATTTTGATTCACTCCAGCTGAAGCAAATCATAATAGCAACGAATGGATGATAAACATTCTATAGAATAAAAAGAATGAAACATTATCGTATCACTCATTCGTTATCTCCGAAGCCTTGTGAAATGTACTGTGTGATTCACAGGTGTTTATCCACATGTATCGGTTATAAAAACATACATTTATGCATAATAGTTGGTGTCTAAAATAAATTTATCCCTCAGTATAATACCCTGACACTACATGGATGAAACCGGATTTATTCGTCAAACATTAAAAAAAAGAAAGGTTGATAGATTATATTTATGGTTATGCTTTATAGGAACTATCAAGTATAATGATCTGTATTGCATTACAGGTTCCGACATTTTAAAGTTGTTTTTCAATGCGTTTCCACTTAAGATTGTGCGAAATATCTAAGCCTAAGAGCTGTATCTCGTTGAAAGAATTTCTCAATGATGATCAGATAATAATATTGTCTGTCCTATATGAGACTTTGCACTAAGTTTTTCCGACAATCACTTCAATAATGTAGGAATTTTGACATGTTTTTTGTACGCGTACGTAACAAGCAACTTTTTTTCTTTGATGAGTGACGAAGTTTTCTCAGTATCAATATTAAATTAAAGAGTTTTAGTTTTGCGTACGTACGCTCTCGACATATTAAAAAATGATATTGCTTATCTCATTTGAGTGCCTACTTGTGTCTACTCCGAGCTGTCAGTAGGGTCTCAACATTAAAGGAAATATAAAAAATAAATTCTCGCAGAGTTGCTTTTTTTGGATCAAAAAGTCCGTGTATTTAGCAGAAAAGCTTTGATCCACCCAACGTAGACAGAATAAAACATTCTTCTATTATATTATATAACACCCTAGTCGATGTTCTTGTTAAGCAAGAATGCAAGATCTTGTGACATTTCTTGCCCAAGAATCGTTTCTTGCGCATTCTTGCCTCTTTCTTGCCCCAAGAAAGTATTTTTCTTGCACAAGAAAAATATATGAAAACTTTCTTTTGACAAGAAACTATCTTTCTTGCGCAAGAAAGAGCAGGCAGTATCTGTTACATCAGACACGTATTTCTACTACTTTTTACATCTACTCTTTTAAGTTTCTCAAAGCAGAATTAAATCAAAGAACAAAAGTAACTAATTTGCAAAGTAAGTACACAGCAGTTCCAGTGAGTGAGAGAATATAAATTCCTAAATATAAATTTTGCTGTC